GCAGGAACATGATGTCGTGCAACACTTAAACCAACCAAGACTAAAAAGCTAACGGGAGCAATAGAAAGCTAGTTATTGGATTATAAGTCATATCAGGGGAGTCTTTTCTTCATTTTCTTCCCCACCCCTTTATATGCGAATTTAGAATTTAAAACATTGAGGACAATGTCTAGTTTAAGTTTGGGGGTGGAAAACGTGAGTTTTCATTTTTTACGTTTTCATTTTTTTATGTGTTTGTTTTGTTCTTATATTTATGTGTTTTCTGTGATTTTATTGTATTAGTTTAGACTAAAAAAATTGAAAATTTTAAAAATATTTTCTTTTTATGTGCATGTGTAAGTTAGTTGGCCTGACGGCAATGAAAATATAGCAAATCATTAATTGATCTATGAATGGTAAATAAGTTGCATGCTTAAATTAATTTTTGTTTTTTCAAATGAAATTTGATATACATTGAGCACATGAATTAAGTTCAGTATTGTGGAGGAATGAGTTGATTTCATAATTGGATATGTTGAAATAATGGACCATAGGTGCTAAATCTTAAACCACTAAATTTTACATCCTTAGACCGAATTTATAATAGTTTGGGAGATTTCATATTTGTAGGAATATATTGAGATAAATAGGGATTTCATGTGTGAAATTAAAAATTTTGTGTGGATTGTCTAAGGTCAATAGGATGCAATTAGGTGAAAATCTCAAGTTATAGGTCGTTTTACTTGGATAAGTATTTAATGAGGGACATTGCACTAATCAAGACACAAAATTTTATTTGAAAATTTCTCTTCGTAGCCTTTATGACTTGAGTTATTAAGCCTGTAAGGGTGCTAAAACTTGTTGCCCTAAAGTCAACTGACTTGAGAGTTATCGGCCTAAAACTTGTTACATTGACCATTTAGAAAGTTTAAGGGAAAGAATACTACAAATAAAGAAAAAAAGTGTTGAAAAAAATTGGAGAGAAAAAACAAGTACATGAAATAGACGCACCAAATACCTTGATTATGTCTCAAACACTTGTTTAAGAAAATTTGACTTTTGATAAGAGATTGTTAGCCTAATTAAGTTCTAGAGATTGAAGCAATTAAATTTAATGGAGAATCCTTATTTATTAACATATTGACTTGCAATTAGTGAGATTGACTTAAGTTAGAGAGGTGAGGATAGTATAAAATTCAATCTTAGTTCACACACTTGAAAAGAGCGAAAAGAATTAGTTTGGGGATGTGTGAATCTTACGAGTGATGAAAGAATATATTCGACCATTGAAGGTCGGGAATTGAAACAACTCGTGAATTCATAATGCTATATTTAATTCTTCACACACACACATCG